AAGTCAGCTGCTGCTGAAACTGACCAGCGCTGACTACAGGAAGCCCAAGGCAGAGTTGCTCTGCCCCGGGCTTCCTGGAACCAGCCGCTGATAAGTTTCAGCAGCAGCTGACTTGGGGATGCCTGGGGTTCTTAAGTTGAATCTGTATGTAAGTCGGAACTGGCGTCCAGATTCAGCCTGTTGAAACTGATCAGAGGCTGATTCCAGGAAGCTCGGGGCATAGCAACTCTGCCTTGGGCTTCCTGTAGTCAGCCATTGGTCAGTTTCAGCAGCAGCTGAATCTGGACGCCAGTTCCGACTTACATACAGATTCAACTTAAGAACAAACCTACAGTCCCTATCTTGTACTTAACCCGGGGACTGCCTGTATTACTTTATTTCCTGTAAATACATGATTCCTCTTTAGAGATTATGATGTGTTTGAGTTTAGCACATTATTCCTGTTTATGTATAAATTAATATATATAAATGAGACTATTTTTATTTGTTTTATGCTCCCCTTGTGGAGTATTTCCTAATCTGCCTTCGTCAGTTTGTCCTTGAACTACATCAATCAAATGTAATATATGAAGCAGGGTTCTCAATTTGGCATTGAACAGGTACAAACAAAAAAGAGAAATGGTGGCATCAATCATCATAACAACACTCTTGAGACCAAAAAAACACCTGTTACTAGGGCCAAGTTTGTATGTATGAGAGACAACCCAGACAATATACTTTATCTACATTATTTCCAGCAGATTGTGTGTTTTCTTCCATACCTACTTGAAATATAGTTTTGCTCTTTTGCATGTTCATCCATCATTGTCATATATTTCCCTTGCTGTTCAGGTGATGATCCCAGAGTGTTTCACCACCTCAAAGAATTGCTGCAAAACCAATCAGCACATTTGGGGGATAGCTAGTCCACCTTGTAGCAACTCTATTGAAATTAAGATTTCTAAAAACCTTCTGCAAAGAGGAGGCAAAGGACTTTGTTGTTTCCTACTTTCAGAGATTAATGTGAACAGCTCACATTCTTTGTTGCCTTATTTTCCATCTAGAAAGGAGTTATTTCCTCTTCAGTAGAGCTGCTAAAAACAAAAAGGAAATTTGAAACGTTTTATCGTTTTTTTCAAAATGTAGATGTATATTAATGTTGAAAATTGGAAAAAAAAATACAAAAAAAACTTCTCCAAACCCCACTCAAAATTCCATCATTTAAATTATTTTTTAAATTCAAAACCAAGTGTTTGACAAAGAAAATTGTTGAGAGAAAACTAAAAAATTGGAAAATTTCAACCAACTGTACTCCTAGGTTTTGCTTTGTGCACTAATTCTAGGGACCATGCTTTTCCAAAAATATCATGAGAAGAAAATGAAACCAGAAGCAGCACGTATTTCAAGCTGAGTCTAAGAACATGACTGGAAAAGCAAAGGACTCTTGGGCTAAAACAGGGGTGGGGAACCTATTTTGGGGCTGTTGACCCACAGAAAAATCAATTGGAGGCCACACAAGTGAGAACCCCCCCCCCCATATATATGTGGCCCCCGACTGAGAAGCAGAAAAATCTCCTCACAATCCCTTTGCACATCAGAGCCTAGGCAGGCCCAGGCTAGTAGATTGAAGTGGTGGCAGGGGGCTGAGCCTTGGGGGCCAATCCAGACAAGCCAGGGGCTGCATCTAGCCCTAGAGACTTAGGTTTCCCACCCCAGGCTAAAAGGAGGATTTAACATATCACTAACTACATTACTTTTTTCTTAATTTGTATTGCTTTAGGTCTGTACGTGTGATCTCAACCACTGGTGAGGGTGTACCAAACACAATCCTTAATGAGCAACTTCAGTACCTGGGGTGTTTCTTATTCCAAATTGTGATTAAATCTTTTAACTCCAGTCAGTTGTGTGGGTATGGTGAGGACAAGCAGCAGCAGCAGCAATTTCATGGATGACAATAGAATCATCTGTCATGTTAAGATAACATACAAATGATAAATTTCTGCTGCATTTAATCCCTGGGATAAAAGGAGACAGGAGAAGCAGCTTCTGATAACAGCAGTGTGCTTAGCAGTTATACAGTGTCTCCCACTAAGGGAACTCAGTGAACTTTGCAGTTGTTAATTAGCCATCATAATGTCCTTGTGAAATAGGGACCATCTTCATGTTTTCTTCAGAAAAGGAAACAAAACCCCTTATTTCACAGGTGAGACACAGAGACTTTAAGTGACTTTTCCAAGGACATAATGGAAGTCCTAAGGTCAGTCCTTTCACTTAGTCTGACTTCGGTATTAGGGAAACTCCAGTAAGGCCAGTGGGGCAGCAATATAGCATGTGGGTGGATTGCAAATTCTTTGTCTGCCAAAGGCTTGCTGTTTGAGGCAGCAATGGCCCACATGCTCCTTCCAAATTATGCCAATGGCCTTAAACACAAGACCATATTTCAGTTCACAGTAGTCACTAAAATGCTGATGGATGGTTAACTGCAAAGGCTGCATGATGGGTAATTTTAAAAAGTATTGTTATCAGGAAGTAGGAATTTGTAAAGAAGAAGGCACAATAAAAAGTTCTAGACATCAACTTACGCACATTAGTTATGCATTTAGGGATGTAACTAAGGCTATACAATTCTCAGGAAAACTTGCCTGATTTTGGGTTAAGTAATAAAGTGGAAACATAGCCCATGCCGGCTGAAAGGTTTGCAAAGGATTGTGAATTTTTCCAATGAATTTGAGCTCATTTTCCAGCATGCCTGTGTTGGCATGATTTTGCATTGAAATCATATGAATTTTCCTATTCATGCCTAATATACCATAAACCTGTTGGGCTACGTCTAGACTGGCATGATTTTCCGGAAATTCTTTTAACGGAAAAGTTTTCCGTTAAAAGCATTTTCAGAAAAGAGCATCTAGATTGGCACGGATGCTTTTCTGCAAGAGCACTTTTTGCAGAAAAGCGTCCGTGGCCAATCTAGACGTGCTTTTTCACAAAAAAGCCCCAATTGCCATTTTCGCAATCGGGGCTTTTTTGTGCAAAACAAATTTCAGCTGTCTACACTGGCCCTTTTGCGCAAAAGTTTTGTGCAAAAGAGACTTTTGCCTGAACGGGAGCAGCATACTATTTCCGCGAAAAGCACTGATTTCTTACAGTAGGAAGTCAGTGCTTTTGCGTAAATTCAAGAGGCCAGTGTAGACAGCTGGCAAGTTTTTCTGGAAAAGCGGCTGATTTTCCAGAAAAACTGGCCAGTCTAGACACAGCCTTGGAGTGTGTTCCATTTTGACAAAAGTATTTTTGAACCCAAACTGTGAATCTCGCCTACATGCAATGTGAAGAGACTCACCCAATGGCATCCAGTTGTAAAATGTGAAAGCCTCGTAGTCCTAGCTCATTAGAAATATTGGTTGTCCATATATAGATGGTGGGGAAAAGAGGAAAATGAACATTAATCATCTGAAAAAAAATCTGGAAGTTGTTCGTAGTCATAGAATGGCATGCAAAGTTCCAGCAAGGAGTTCTGTTTGTTTTTAACTACTGCTTCATGTTTCTCTCTCTATTGTGATTATATACCACCATTACGATGGTATCTCAGTATTTCAGAATTTATGACGAATTTATCCTCACAACACTCCTGAGTCATTATCCCCATTTTATAGATGGGGAACTGAGGCACAGAAAAGCTAACATGCCCAGAGGCACATAGGAAGTCTGTGATAGAATATGGCATTGAACCTGTCTCCAAAATCCAAAGCCATGGCCCTACCTTTGCCATGTCCTTTGTCTTAGTTTCATTCTCTGACAGAAAAAAAGGTCATAGCTATTGGGGGTGGGGGAAGAAAGGCACATTGTGCCACTACAGAAGTAGTCATGGAAGAGGGAACAAGATTGAAGGCTAGCACTGAGCCAAGGGAGCTTCCTCAGAAGCAAGGTCCCATACCTGATGGAACGAAGAGATCTTATTAATACTTTGATGAATGTAAAACAAATCAGATTTACCCAAAACAAATTAAAACAGTAAAAATGCAACCATCGGTGATGGTGAAGTACCCTCACGTTGTGAGAGTAAATAAAGTTACAAATACCATTTCAGTAGTAACTAGTAAGTTGTGTAAAGGGTTATAACCCCTTGGACAGCACTTATGTATTTCAGAAGCCCTATTAAAATTACCAGTTCTAGAATTTTAGCTGGGATGGTAACTAGGAAGGAACACTGAAATGATGAAGAATCCAACAAGGGAAAACTAAAAATCAGCACAACCTCAAGGGCAGAGGTTTGTGAAGGTGAGAGAGCAAGATGCAAATGGAAGGAAGCTTTAGAAGGAATAATATTAACCATAGTCAAAGAAAAGCTTTAGCTCAAAGAAAAGGAATCTGGAAACAATAAGGAGAATTGACCCACTACTTTTTTGGACCACGCTGTACTATTTCATAGAAGATTATATCCCTGCTATAGAATTCTAATGGATAGTTTATATAAGTATCCATTAAATTCTCTATATTTGTGGAATAACTTCTATGCTGCCTTATTAAATTTCTGGTACACTTTAATTAATGTTACCCCTCTCCAATTCTATAAGAGTTTACAAGAAGGTAAAGTTTAAATATATGGGCTGAGATTTGCAAAAGCCATCTAAACGTTTTTGGATGCTTTCCAGTCCCTACTCCTACCCACCTCTCTCCCCTTCCCCTCCCCCCCCAAAAAATCTACTAGAGAAAGACAAGTAGAAAGTATGTTGCAATGCATCATTCCACTGTCTATGAACACAGCATTTGGAGCTTCACAGATAGCTAGACTGGAAGGGCTTTGATTCAGTGGGAGCACTACACAACCTGATCTCTCATCAAACCAGTCGGGAAATTTCTACACAAATTAAGGATGATACTGTTCCTAAGGTTCTTGGCTCCTAACCAGGTGAAATCTGGCCATATTGAAGTCAAGGAAAGTTTTGCATTGATTTGAACAGATCTAGTATTTTACCCCTGGACTTCAGCTTTCCATTATTAGAAGAATTCTTCTGGAGAGTTTGCACTTTCCCCCTCTTTATATTCAATTAGTCAATGCTATTAGACTTCAACTTTTATGAGAAGTAAAATTTCAAACATAAAAGTAAAATACAAAAAATAGAAAAAACTGGCTTTATTAGCAAAAGAACAACTGTGATTAAAAGGACAACTAACTATGAACCTTACAATGTCTACCAATTAACCAATAAATAAAATCCTTAAACTTTTCTCCCTGCAAATAACCTTGAGACACCATAGGTCAAAACTGATCAGAGTCTTTTTCAAACAACTCGTTTTTTCATTTTTTTTTTTTACTATTACAAGAAGATTGGTATAGCATCTTAAATTTTTGCAAATTATGCAATCTAAAATCAAAGTGCCTTTTGTGACAGTGCAATAAAATTACATGGCAAGACTGTCAGCAATGTGATAACATTAAAACATAAATCTGTTCCATTCTGTTCTGTTAAAATACTTCAAGAAATGTCAACTAATCATACATACTGAAGACAAATGTGGGCATAAATGTTAGATGTGAACAAGACAAGCATCACAAAGTTATTTTCTTACTATAAGAGGTTCTATGTCAAGCTTTAGGCATGTAACTAATCTGCTGAAAATAAGAAAAAAGATACAAAATAGTGTATTTCAGAACAGGGATGTGATTACAATTTAAATTGTGTTTATCAAAGTTTGATTTTTGGGACTCATTAGTAAAAGAAAAATTGACTGAATGTACTTCATACATAAAACCAGATAGTACAACAATTAATCTGTGTTGTTGACATTCTGTTACAGAAAATTTCAATGTCATTGTCCATAAAGCTTTTTAATGCAAACCGTGTAAATAGACATTTAAGTAGTGCTTTTTTTTTTTTAACTAAGCACTGGCACATCCTCTTAATATAGTACTTAGTACAATAAATACAAAATCTGTAGCAGAGATCTTTTAAAAGCTGAGACTCCGACATAATAGTGGAGGAGAAAAAATGAAATAATGTTGATTGAGATTTATATCATGTGTGAACTTAGAAATCCAACAAGTTAATTTTACATTAAATAAGCAACAAGAACAATCCACAGTTTGCAGCAAAAATAACTTTAGGTATCTCATCATAAATGCCTCGTTGAAAGCTTTTGTTCTCAGTGGCAGGTAGGAAGAAAGTAGGCTAGTAGAAGAAAACAGAATTTACAGCATATTGGTTGATTCCTACTTATCTAATTTTTAAAAATTAATACATTGAAAACAGTTCATTGAAATCAGCAACAATCTTGTTTGAATATGTTCACAGAATTCTGTAGGCAATCCAAAGAAGATTCACCAAAGTATATGGCCTCAGCCAGTCTTAATGACAATGTTCTTTTTAGTCTATGTCACAAATTCCATCAATTATATAAACTAATTCTATTAAAACACTACTAGAAACAAACAAACAAAAATCAGAATTAATCAGTGACCAAAAAGAAAAAGTTCTTGCTTAATTCACAAACTTTCAATTGATTACCAGGTCAACTGACCTAAATATTTTAAAACGTATCAACTAAAAGAGCGGAAAGACAAATAATAAGGAAAAGCAGTTTCTATAATACTCACAACTGGTTCAAGCTACTTCTTCTTCTGACTTGTGTAGCAAAATAAAGGGGGAAAATAATTAGATTAGCTTTCACAGAAATAAGCATTCATCAAGTCCAAAAGAAACAGAATACTCTGCCAGAGCTATTTGAGGGTCCTATCAAATTTTGGCTGTGTAGAAGACGGCTGAGGGACAGTTTGTTTCCCTTAGACCTCATGACATGCAAATAGCTGGTTCCCTTGTCACTGGATTGAAATCATTCTTTGTCGTATTGTGTTTACAGATGGTAGACAAAAACAGACCACAGAGGAGATCCTTAAAAGAGCATTTTTCAAGGACAATGTTTCAAAGACCTAGAAAGAGGCGCTTTAGTAAAAAAAATCTATAGTGGAAGGCGGGGAAGGGAATGAACATATTCATCTCCAGCTTTTTTGTGCACAGATTCTTTGAAAACATTCAAGATACTCGATAAAACTCAAAATTAACATTAAAACTCCTGCTTACAGTTTTTGGGGTACAGGCAGTCCCCGACTTACGCGGATCCGACTTATGTCGGATCCGCACTTACGAACGGGGCTTTCTCGCCCCGGAGGTCGGGGCGAAAAAGCCCCGTTCGTAAGCTGCTCCGGTGCCCCGGTCTGCTGGAGACCGTTTCCAGCAGACCAGGGGGCCC